GGGGGCTGGCCCCCCCGGGGTTGGGCCCCCCCACGGACAAGCCGCCGGTCACCCGAGCCGGGGAACGGGTGAGAAGGGATGTTTACCCAGAGAGAGCAAAGATTCGTAGTTCTCCTTCACCAGGTTATTGTACAGCTCCTTCTGCCACTCCTCCAAATTCTTCCACTCCTCGGCGGAGAAGTAGACAGCAATGTCAACAAACGTCATGGAGGGTGCATGGGGCACCCCGGGGCACACGGACAGCCGGGGCCGAGGGTACTTGGGGGCATCCAGGGCTGGAGGGTGCATGGGGCACCCCGGGGCACACGGACAGCCGGGGCCGAGGGTACTTGGGGGCATCCAGGGCTGGAGGGTGCATGGGGCACCCCGGGGCACACGGACAGCCGGGGCCGAGGGTACTTGGGGGCATCCAGGGCTGGAGGGTGCATGGGGCACCCCGGGGCACACGGACAGCCGGGGCCGAGGGTACTTGGGGGCATCCAGGGCTGGAGGGTGCATGGGGCACCCCGGGGCACACGGACAGCCGGGGCCGAGGGTACTTGGGGGCATCCAGGGCTGGAGGGTGCATGGGGCACCCCGGGGCACACGGACAGCCGGGGCCGAGGGTACTTGGGGGCATCCAGGGCTGGAGGGTGCATGGGGCACCCCGGGGCACACGGACAGCCGGGGCCGAGGGTACTTGGGGGCATCCAGGGCTGGAGGGTGCATGGGGCACCCCGGGGCACACGGACAGCCGGGGCCGAGGGTACTTGGGGGCATCCAGGGCTGGAGGGTGCATGGGGCACCCCGGGGCACACGGACAGCCGGGGCCGAGGGTACTTGGGGGCATCCAGGGCTGGAGGGTGCATGGGGCACCCCGGGGCACACGGACAGCCGGGGCCGAGGGTACTTGGGGGCATCCAGGGCTGGAGGGTGCATGGGGCACCCCGGGGCACACGGACAGCCGGGGCCGAGGGTACTTGGGGGCATCCAGGGCTGGAGGGTGCATGGGGCACCCCGGGGCACACGGACAGCCGGGGCCGAGGGTACTTGGGGGCATCCAGGGCTGGAGGGTGCATGGGGCACCCCGGGGCACACGGACAGCCGGGGCCGAGGGTACTTGGGGGCATCCAGGGCTGGAGGGTGCATGGGGCACCCCGGGGCACACGGACAGCCGGGGCCGAGGGTACTTGGGGGCATCCAGGGCTGGAGGGTGCATGGGGCACCCCGGGGCACACGGACAGCCGGGGCCGAGGGTACTTGGGGGCATCCAGGGCTGGAGGGTGCATGGGGCACCCCGGGGCACACGGACAGCCGGGGCCGAGGGTACTTGGGGGCATCCAGGGCTGGAGGGTGCATGGGGCACCCCGGGGCACACGGACAGCCGGGGCCGAGGGTACTTGGGGGCATCCAGGGCTGGAGGGTGCATGGGGCACCCCGGGGCACACGGACAGCCGGGGCCGAGGGTACTTGGGGGCATCCAGGGCTGGAGGGTGCATGGGGCACCCCGGGGCACACGGACAGCCGGGGCCGAGGGTACTTGGGGGCATCCAGGGCTGGAGGGTGCATGGGGCACCCCGGGGCACACGGACAGCCGGGGCCGAGGGTACTTGGGGGCATCCAGGGCTGGAGTGTGCATGGGGCACCCCGGGGCACACAGACAGCCCTGGGCAGAGGGGTGCCCGGGCACCCCCAAGAGAGAGGGGCATGGGGACACCTCGGGGCTCACGGACACCCCTGGGCAGAGGTACATTGGGGCACCCCGGGGCACATGGACATCCTGGGTTAGAGGTGATGGGGACATCCCAGGACACACGGACATCCCTGGGCAGAGGGGCACGGGGGCACCTCGGGGCACATGGACGTCCCCGCGTTAGAGGTGATGGGGGCACCCCGGGGCACAAGGGCATCCCCGGGCAGAGGTGATTGGGACACCTTGGGACACTCGGACATCCCCAGGTTAGAGGTGATGGGGACAACCAGGGGCACATGGACATCCTGGGTTAGAGGTGATGGGGGCACCTCAGGGCACACGGACGTCCCCGGGCAGAGGGGCACGGGGGCACATGGACATCCCCGGGCAGAGGTGATGGGGGCACCGCAGAACACACAGACATCCCTGGGCAGAGGTGCACGGGCACATGCCGGGGAACACGGACATTCCCAGAGGTGATAGGGGCACCTCGGGCACGAGGGCACACAGATATCCCCAGGTTAGAGGTGATGGGGACAACGTGGGGCACACGGACATCCCCAGTCAGAGGTGATGGGGGCATCCCAGGACACACGGACATCCCTGGTCAGAGGTGCACAGGCACACCCCGGGGCACACAGACACCCCTGGGCAGAGAGGCAGAGGGGTACCCAGGCACCCTGGGGCACCCGGACACCCCTGGGCAGAGGTACATGGGAGCACCCCGGGGCACATGGACATCCTGGGTTAGATATGATGGGAGCAACCCGGGGCACACAGACATCCCTGGTCAGAGGTGCACAGGCACACCCTGGGGCACATAGACACCCCTGGGCAGAGGGGCAGAGGGCTACCCGGACACCCCCAGGCAGAGGTACATGGGGGCACCCCCGGGCACATGGACATCCCTGGCCAGAGGTGATTGGGACACCTTGGGGCACACGGACATCCTGGGTTAGAGGCGATGGGGGCACCCTGGGACACACAGACACCCCCAGGCAGAGGCGATGGGGGCACCCTGGGGCACAAAGACACCCCCAGGCAGAGGTGCACTCTGGGGCACACAGATAGCTCTGGGCAGAGGTGATGGGGACACCCTGGGGCACATGGACGTCCCCACGTTAGAGGTGATGGGGACATCCTGGGGCACATGGACATCCTGAGTGAGAGGTGATGGGGGCACCCCAGGACACACGGACGTCCCCGGGCAGAGGGGCACGGGGGCACCCCGGGATTGGAGCAGGCACACGGCACCCTGGGGCACGTAGCCATCCCCAGCCAGGGCACACAGAGGCATCCTGGACGGAGGGCGCTTCGGGGATGGGGGGCATCCAAGGGCGCAGGGGGACCCCGGGGCACACAGGGCTGCGCGGGACATGAGGCAGCACGGGCCAGGGGTGCACGGGGGGAGCCGGAGG